GGGGCGACGCGCAGCTCGTTGTAGAAAGTGTGGTGCCAGATCTTCTCCATGTCGTCCCAGTTGGTGATGATGCCGTGCTCGATGGGGTACTTCAGGGTGAGGATACCACGCTTGGACTGGGCCTCGTCGCCCACATAGGAGTCCTTCTGTCCCATGCCGACCATCACACCCTGGTGACGGGGACGACCCACAATGGAGGGAAAGACGGCGCGGGGCGCGTCATCGCCGGCGAACCCAGCCTTGCACATACCGGATCCATTGTCCACGACCAGAGCGGCAACCTCATCGTCACACATCTTGGCTAATATATATTTTCACTGCAACAACAGCAACAACGGAAGCGGTATTTTAGAAGGAGAAGTTGGGACTGGGTCTCGGGTGTTGGGTGTTGGGTTTGGGCTGGATTTGACTACGACCTGACTGCCTTGTATTCGGGTTGTGTGTGACATGTGTGACTTTATTCGAAAAGGTATATTTTCCAAAAAGAATCCAGCACTGCCCAAGAAACCGTGAAATTTTGTTTCAACTTGTGCCCTATTTCAGTTTTATTTAAATTATTTACGTTGGGTGACTTTAAAAATTTTCTGATCTGATCTCAACAATATAGAACCAATATCTTTTTAGGATAATCGTTGAAGAATTTGAGATTTGTTGAATTGAATCCGTTTTCATTTTTATTGATATACTTTCAATATACCCGATTTTAGAATTAAAGAACCAATATCTTTTCAAGGTAAAAGTTCAAGAAATTTAAATTTGTTGTTTAAATATTTTTTAATTTCACAAAAATACTTTCAATATATCCAATTTAGAATTAAGGAAACAATATTCTTTGAATATTTTAATTCGATATTTGTTGAATTGATTGATTTTTAAATTTCTGATCCTATTTTAGTAATATATCTTTTAAAGATAATCGATGGAGATTTGTTGTTGCTCAGTTTTATGACCGTTTTATACCATTCTTGTATAATTTTCACGAAAATATAGGTAATATAAAAAGTATATTTTAAGTTTTAGTCACAGAGCACTTGAATCTATTTTTTTTAAAATCAAACTCAGATCTGAGAATTGTTGATTTAATTTTTTATTTGCTTTGTGTCCTTGCTGAACACGCAGCAATATTTTTGTGGTTTCTTTCCTTTGGAAAATGTACCTTTTGAGTATGTCTGGCACTGTTCACTCGAACAAGTATCGTTTGGGTAAAAGTCAATCAGACAGACTTGGTGGATACTAACCGTTAGACGAAGAAAAACTAGAAATCCAAATCAACACTTTCGCTGCAGAACTGCGAGTGGTCGCTGGACCGAGATGCGCTAATATTTATACCATTCAGACGACCCTCAGTCGGTTTAGATACTTTCCGCACGCATACTCAATCGTCTCTCGGCGGCACACACATCCACAAATGTACATGCAGCACATGGATGCACATTGCGCCGACGGGGGAAATTCTGAATTTCTTTTAAAAATAATTTGTTTTCCTTGGATATTTGTTTTTGGACTTCTGCTCGCTTCGTTCATAATTTTCGAGATGGTGCACTGCAAAAAAAAACTCTGCTTACAACGGGAAAGAATTCTTTACCCATGATGTTTTTTCTTGATAAAAGAAAAACTGCGGAATCGGCTGATTTCTAAGCTAACCAAAATATTAAGAAATCAACTTAACTTAATTAATTTAGGAGTGATGAAAGTTGAGATTCAAAATTTTTTCATGAAACCATTTTATTGAAACACTATTTTCTAAAATACTTTATTCCTCAATAAACTCTTTTCATTCTAAAGGTCTTAATCGTTTAAAAAATATTACACACTCAATTAATAAAGCAACCAGTGCTTCACTTGTTAATCGAGTTTTTAATTATTTTAATAAAATAATTAATAAAAGAGTTAAGTCTTCAAATATTCAAGATACAAGAAATACAAAATGTTTAATTGTTTCAGGGGGAATGACCACAATACAGCTAAAATACTATGTTCAAAGTTAAGTTCGCCGGACTTGTAGTAAGACAATGTTTATGTCGTTATTTGGACTCCAGCAAAATTTTAGTTTATTTTAATAGTTTTATCAGTGTAGCGGCTGAGAAGCAGAGAAACATACGGTACTGAGCGCCATGGTAAACAACGGCCCGATTGCTCACCCACAGACAAACACTCACACATGGCAGATCCTCCGGATCGGAGCATCCCCATCGTAGGCGTAGCAATCGCTCTCCATCTGTATCTGTATCTTTGTCTGCAGCCACGAATGAATCCGTATCTGTATTTGTGTCTGTGTCTGTGCCGTGTTCGTTTTTTGTTTTGTCTAATTTTTAATCAACTTTTGCACGTTGGCCCAATCCATACATGGTTGCGATGGAAATCTCTCAGCGATGATGAGAACGCACTCGCAATTAGAAATAAGAATTTCAAAACAAAACCAAAAGTTATATATCGCCGCATTCTCTCGACCATAATTTGGTGGGTGTGGGCTGTTTTGCTGGGTGGGTGGGTGTGCTAGCTGGTTAGGGACTCAAAAGCCATAAACGCAAACCGAAAATTGTTAATAGAGCGCACAGTGCATTTATAGATTTGCCAGATTTTGGTTGGCAAAACTGAAATTAATTGAAAATGCCCCAACTTATTTGCCCATTAACATTTCCTTTGGTTTTTCTTTCTTGGCACACTCTCATTAATCACAAACTAGATCATTAAAATCCATTCAGTTAATGTTCAAAACTTGTAATTGACTTATATGGGGCTGTGGGAATTTATAAAAATAATAACAAAAAAGAAAAATGCGTTTGTTGTTTACACCATTCTTCCATTTTTTAAAGAGTTCGTGTGTGGGTGGGAAAACTGTGTGTGAGATGAAAATCGAAGGGAAAGGCAAAAATAAATAAAATGAAAATCGTGCGCTCTCACGTTTTTGCAAGAGATTCTTTGACGCTTACGCGCAGAAACGTATCTAGAGTATGGAATTCTATTTTTAATAAAGAACTCACGAAATTCTTATATTTAATTTTAGATAAATATGCGATTGGCCAGTTATCGCAGGTGAGGAAGTATGATTTCCTAACAGGACTGATTGAGTACCCTGTTGGTAAATAATGTCAAGGAGCATTATAAGATTGCATATTGGTTGATGAATATTTTAAAATAACTCCTCTACCATTTTAGCTTCCTAAGCTTCCTAATGACATTTTCTTAAAAAAATATAGAATTTCCCCTGTTCATTCACACTATTTTCCCCACTATCAGCTGAGTAATCGGCAAACATTTTCACAACGCCTTGTTGGGCGCCATTCACTCGGTCTGCCATGACGCCTAGTTGGTCAGCAATATTATAAAAATATGTCTGAATATATGTTAACGCCTGTGTATTTGGTTTTTTTTTTATACATTTTCGGCCCACATTAGCTGGCTAGCAGCTGATTGAATTGTGTTGGCCAGCAACAACAGAAATCTGCCAATTTGATGATACTGCAACAAATGTGCTGCCTAAAAATATTATTTATATAAATCTGTGAAGCCACATATGCGAGATTTGGTTGGGGCAGAGCCATCAGAGGCGGAGGCACCAGCCAGGCCAGAACAAAAAAGCGGCGAACAGGCCAGGTCGGAACATTGGGCCACCACCTTTTAAGGATGCGCCAAGAAGCAGCGGAGTAGAATGCCGACGACAGCTTGACGCTGGCGGCGTGCGCGCTTGTTCGCTTTTCTGACAACCAGCCGCATCGCCAGCAGCTATGGGTACGGATATGAGTGCGGATATAAGCACGGAACACGGAGGAAAATGTTTAGAAGTTGAACAATTCGAAAAACATTTACCACACACAAATCGTGAAAATGGGCTCAAATTAAGAAAGTATTAGATAGACCCAAAATAACAAATACGTTTTAAATGTTCGGAAATGTAAAAATCATTACAAAATTTTAGGCCAACAATCATAATTTTTGGAAAATATTGATGCTCTCCATGTAGACAAGGTTTCAAATTTAAGTAGTATAAAGCAATATAATATATATATAATATAATATCGCATATAACTACATTTTAGTCATTATATGTCTCAAAACTTTTAAAATAATTTCCCTTAATAATTATTTCACTTAAAGCCCGAATCTAATTGGTTTCCTTTTACTTATCTCAAACCTGTTACAAACAATTTGTTAAGTTTTGCAACAATTCTGCGATGCAAGAGAAAATTAATAATCAAAAAAATAAATAATCTTAGCATACAGATATAAGAAATGAACTTCAGTATTTTTCTGCTAATATCCAGATGAAAACCATTAAACTTTTCTTTATGTGCAACAGCAACGCCGGCTGCATTCCACGGTGTATTGCAATACTGTATTTTTAAATTGAATATTGTGCCAAGAAAATATAAATATGTAAGCATATATTTATGAAACTTTTAAAGCAAAAATTTTTACATTAATAATATTTAATTTTTACTTAACGCTTTTAATTCAATGCACATTTGTTGTTGCACAGGGAGTTTGAGTGATCATTAAAATCTAGCAGCATTAAAAAGCACTTACAGAACCCAAATGTAAAATTTGATGCTTAAAATATCATTAAAATTTTAATACTACTATTAACTTTAACTAATGATGACTTTCATATTCATTGCATACTTTCTGGCAGAAGTATTATCGGAGTACATAGCTTTCAAATAGATTTCAGCGATATATAAATGTCATCAAAAGGACGATTAATGTTAAGTATACAGATTAAGCTATTTGTTAATGAATTTACCATAACATATGAATACTGTAAGCTTTTTTCATGGTCCGTTAACGTATACACTCGTATTTTTCAATGGTCATAAAATTACCTTATCTTTCAAAGTGTGTCACACTATAAGTAAATATAGAAATTCTGGAAATTGTTTTAATATGAACATTCGTTTTGGGTCAGGCTTATGACCCAAATAAATATATATATAATGACTCTTATCACCGGCTTATAAATACGGCTTCGCAGAATTGCGAGTCGTCAGAGTTTATTTAAATACAAAATGCTGAGGTCCACATATATTTTGGTTGCAACATTTATGGTTTGTTTCACCCTAACGGAATGCAGAGAAGTTTCACGTCAGGATCAGTGCTCTTCTTCGGTGATGCCGTTGTTGAATCTTATGGCTGCGTGTCAAGAGCGTTTGAAGGCCTGTGAAGCTAGTCATTTAAACGACACCAATGCGAGTTTGAGGAGTATACAAAACCAGCTGGAATCGATGAAGAAGGTCGTCCCGCAGAACTTCCAAAAGATTGGATCCAGGTACTTCTACTTTGAGGAAAACCACAAGCGAAATTGGTTTGCTGCTGCAAATGCATGCCGGCAGATGGGTGGTAATCTAGCCAGTATCCAGAGTGACGATGAGCTGGCCGCCATCAAACAACATCCCAAACGCAACTATAACGAGCACTATTGGCTGGACATTAACGACCTGGCCACTGCTGGTCAGTATATGTCCTCCACATCCGGCCAGATTGCTCCGTTTTTGAAGTGGGCTTCGACGGAGCCAAATAATTTAAACGATGTAGAGCACTGCGTTGATCTCTATTGGGAGCAGATGTACGATAACAACTGCTACACAAAACAATATTATTATATTTGTCAGGCGAATATTTAAAAACATGATTAAATCGAAATAAAATTTGCAGCAGTTATCACCATAATAATGCTGTTTGTTCTTTTTTTTTTTTTAATCATTACCCGGAAATAGACAGAAATAAAGGTGATGCTAATTAAGCTTTTTTATTCAGCATATAAAAAATGTTTCAGAATAATCTATAGGCGCTCATTTCAAGATCATTATTTTCCTTTTAGATCGAAGGACACATTTGACATAGCACCACTCGAAGGCAAAGACGCCGCTGGCCACCAGTAAAAGTCCGCCGGAAAAAACGATGGCTCCACGAAATTGGTCAAAAGTGAGAGCCTTGAAAGGATCTTCGCGCGCTCTGGTTATCTCCTCGTGTATCATGCGCCGCATGTCAAGGTCGCGGGCCCACTTCTGCATGTGCCCCGATTCGATGATGTGCTGGATCACCGGGTTGATCTGGTGCAGCAGATGGTACTTCTTCGGCAGCAGCATGGTCACTAGGTAGACGTAAAGGGATTCCCGTCGATCGAAGCAGTAGAGGCGGTCCCTTTGAATCCGCGGATTGTAGAAAGAGTGCTGCCGGGAAACAGCGACTGCGATGTGTTCATTTTCAGCAGCATTGTTGAGACAGTCCACCAAATTATAGCACATTTTGAACTTCTCGCGAATATACTTGAATATCTGGAAATGGGTTTATATATGTTGAAAGTAAAGGACAGTAAATAGGAATGACTCACCTCTCCATCCTTGTTCAAATGTCGAACGTTCTCGGAGGTGCCCATGATGGTCATTCGGTTAATGTATATATCCTGCAGAGTCTGTATTTGATAGGAGCTGCGGGGAGTGGTTAGCGTGCTAATCAGAAAACTCTGGTACGTATTACTGAAGAAGAAGCCCATTAGAAAGGAAAGCGCAAACAGTTGCCTTAAAGTCAATGAAAAGTTCTGAACTGCAATGGACTGGTTGAGCAAGATTCCCAGAACCCTGAGGCAGATGGGGAAATATCCATTGAGATTACCCAGCCGGAAGCCAGAAACACGTTGAGCCACTAAAACCACCAGCGAGCATGTAACCACAAAGAGTCCCAGCAGAAATCCTGCGTCCGCTTTGAAAGTGGCCACGAAGTTGAAGAAACCATGTCTGCGTTTTGCCCTCGCCACACACCAAGTTAGCTCGTCCTGGTGATACGGGATGGAACTGGATACGAACTGGCTGATGCTTGGATCCTCATCTATTCCACCCACAATCATCTCGATCTCCCTGCGGCATATTATTGATTATTATTTAAAAAACAACATTATAATTAAAGAATAAAATTTGTAAGGATCTATCAATAAACTATTTTCATAATCAATAATCAAAAACAAATTTTTTAAATTGTGTAAACAAAAACTTAATGCAAGTACCATAGCGTTTGGAAATAAGCAACTGATAAGATAATATTTTGTACTTTTTTTGTTTGTTTTGTTTACCAATATGAATTCTCACCCATCGATCAGTTGTTGAAAAAGGTGATACAAATTGCTGTTCTCGCCTTGCATTTCAATGTTTACGTGCAAACGTTCGGCGATGGTTTTTACCATTTGGTACTCAATTCCACTCAACTTGACCTTTTCATCGGAATGAGTTTCGGCGTCGGGAATGGAATTGTCACCATCATCTTCCGGATAACCATAGCTCTCGTCCTCCGTTTCCTTATAACTGGGGGAAGTGTCGTTGTAGTCGTCACCATCCGTTTGTACGCCGTAGTAGTAATCATCCACGACTTCCTCCTCCCTGTTGCGAAAAATATATGGTTCCCAAGGACGAAATGATGCTGTCAGAGGACATCCACTGAGATCGCGAGGGAATTTATCCTCAAACTTGGCTCTATAGAATTCCTCGATTGTGGCTTCCGGCTCTGAGGAGTTGGACTTATTCTCATCATTTTCAAAAGATCCATTTGCATTATCCCCTTTGCTAGTCTCAGTTGAACTTTCAGTGTTATCGTCGTTGGTTGCCTTTGGTGAGGTTTTAGATACATTTTCATTGCTATCGCCAAACGAGTTTTCTGAGTACTCATAATTTGTTTGATATTTCAAGTTTCCATCGGGGCTCGAAGACACATAAATTTCTTCTTCGCTTAAACTTTGATCATTTCTCTCATTACTATTTCTGTTCTCATTGGTTGGTTTGTCATCATTTGGATGATAATTTTCCTGACCTGTAATAGCACTTTCTGCGCTTTCTTTTTGGCCTCCACTTTCATTTGACTGAATTCCATCAACGTTTTCTTCCTGTTCTTGACTTTTCTCATTACCTTCCTCGCTTTGGGGACATTTTTCTTTACACTTTTCTTCACTCTTATTTATATATTCAGTATCTTGTCCCTCACTTTGTCCGATTTCCCTGTAACCGGTACCATTTTCTCCACTTTCTCTGCTATTTTTTGGAACCTCATCTTCCTGATCAACGGAATTTTCCTGACTGTTGTCCTCCTGGTTTTCACCACCTTCACCTTCGTCATAGTCCTCATCCCGAAGATCCTTTTCATCGCCCGGATAATCGCAGGCATCCAGTAGCTCAACAGATATAACACGATTTCCGCAGTTGTTATCCGGATGGTAGGGAAAGACGGTTTTGCCGTAGAAGTAATTGGTTTCTGCGCTCTGGCCTATGACGTTCACGTTGAAAATCTTCTTGTTCATAAAGGTAAGGAGCACTTCCACCATTAGGTCAGTCATCTCCTCTTCTGTTTCCTCCAAACTGGCCAAGTAAACAACGAATTGGGCCAGGGGATTCCAGTTAACCATGCTTTTCCAATGCTCGAATATCTCGTCAAGGTCTTCGTCGTCGAGACTCTCGACAATGAGGAAATAGCACTGCGGCTTCTCATTCATCAGTATTGCGGATGACGCAGATCCCTGCCTGGAGTTGGTTATCAAAACGCTCCAAGGATACTGCCGGTAAGACTGCATTCCTCTGAGTAACTGGTCTTGGATATGGGGCAACTGATAGTTTCGATTGAAGCAGAGCACTGAGCCCGAGAGTCCATCTCCGGAATCGAAATATTTCCGGAGCAGAGCAAGGATGCAAGCTTCCTGTCCCTTATCCTCAGCTGGAACCTTCATCAGATTGATTCCGAACCCTTGGATGCCGAGCTTCAAGCTCCAGAGGAGCAGCAAGGTTGCCACCCAAAAACGGTGCTCTGGTGTGGACATGCCGCAAACGACTGAGTGTGCCACACCCACCCGACCACGCCCCTGCTGGGCGGGTAACTCACTCCCAGTCTCGAGGGACCGACTCTGTTATTATACTGCAATTATGTTAATTTTTCAATCTCTGGTCTGATTTGGCCCCTCGGCTGTGACTGTTGGGCATGAAATATTTTCCCCCATTTCGACTCGCTTGTTTGTTTGCTTAGGCCATGTTTTTTTATGGCCCAGTCATAAGCGCTGACGCTCCAATTGAATTGCGACAAGTCTTATCTGAAATCTCTCCGAGCCAATATGCTACTCTGCCTGCAACTTGAATTCAAACAACTCAGTGCTAGCACTTTAGCTATTTTATTGCTTCGTTATTACCCACAAACTACAAATTAAAAGTTATTCGATCATGTTTGATAGTTTATTAATGCGAGTTTTTATAGTTTCATGTTTGTTTATTTTATTTTAATGTTCTGTTGATCATTATCATTATCATAACCTATATTGCGCATTAAAAATAAAATAAGCTAAGGCTTTTAACTTAATAAAAAAAATGTTGAATTTTAATAGTTTTTTTTTTAAATGGTCTTAAATTTTTATCTGAATATCTATGTATACATAAAATAGTTTTGGTTTCAAATCACCATTTATCCCAGATAAATTCGAGCAGATCTGGCCAAAACCGAGACCATTCTTCTCATTGTCGGTTAGAGTCTTACCCAGTTGGACATTAAAGCTAAAGTCACGCTTAAAGCGGGAACGACAAGGCCTGGCATTTTGGACTCATAAATAACATCACACCGAATGTGGAAGAAAAAACAAATTGAATAAAGCGCGTGTGCTGAAAAGAAAAAAACAAAAAACATGACCGTGCAATGCAATCGCAAAATGTTGGTGGGCACTAGATTTTGAATCCAGCAAGTTGCCCTCATTTTTATTTATCTCTTGGTCGGCAACATATTTCATACGCATTTTTTATTGCATTTCATTGCGCAAATCGTAAAATTTAATTCCCATACATCGTATTGGTTAGTGACCATTACTTTTCAACATTTTTATTGCTGACATATTCAGAAATTAAACAACAATCAATACTAAGACGGAACTGTTAGTTTTGGAACGTTAAACTTCAAGAACTAATTAAGATAAGACTATTGCTAGAACTACATATGTGTATTTTGCAATCAGGCTGGTGGTAAAAGTTGAGCCAGCTTGTGTTCTGTAGTCATGAGCTACAAAATATGTTAAGTATGTTATATATTCGAAATTCATTTACCGGGCGAGTAAACCAAATTGGTGACGGCTTTTGTTAGGTCTGCGTCTGCGTCCCCGTCTGATCTTTAATTAATAATAAATTAAACTATTTGAAACGGCTATGTATGGATCACAAAAAAGAAAAATCACTTGCCTAGTCAGTATGGTAATTTGTTAAAAACACATTTCTGCCAGAGCACAAAAGAAATATACTTGTTTTTTCACTTTTGAATATGGATTGTATATTAATGAATTAGTACATTTCAATTTTTTGTTACTCTTTTAACATAACACTTTGATTTTAGCTTATGAACTGTGACAATTCCGTAGACTATGAATTTGTTTCTTTACATTTTTACGATTTTATAAAAATACTTTCCTTCTGGTATAATGATCTAAATAATTTCAATTTAACACACAATCTTTACGCTGCAATTTATGTTGAGTGACTCATTATAAAAAGGTATTCAAATTTCGTTATGCCAGAAGCATGCATTGTGGCCAATTTATTAGCTTGACGTTTGAAAACAAAGCCAGCATGCATGTCCAGCTCACCTCGACTCCGCCGTCCCCATTATGTACTACATCGGATCAGTTCAGTTGCCATGCTTCGCATTGGCCACAGGCGTCAAAATTGGAGTCAGTTGCAGCACTTTTGACATGGTGCTGACCTTCGTCAAGAGAATAGAAGCAGTCATAAATGCACCGACAAAAAATATCTAAATCAAACATGCATATATAGCTCGCCAAGAATTTCCTAACACTATATATTTATAAAGATTTTTTCTTAAAAAATCAAAGTAACAAACAAAATTAAAATAAATGTAAGGTTTGAAAATTTCAACTTTGTTTTACGTAAATGCAAAGTATCATATATTTCTTTGTCTATATGGGTAACTAGTGGTCGAGTAATAATAACTCTCCAACCGCAGTATGGTGCTTGAATATTATTGGAGGATTTTGATAGTCCGGGTGGTATTTACAATCACCGGAAAACGAAAGTATGCGCCACTCGAAATAATACAAAAATTGTGGCTGTATCTTTGTGCTTGTCTGTGGGAAACCGGCTGTTGGCACACCTTCTGCGGAGGTGGAGCCTTCAAGCCACATTGGCTTAATTGGTTTAATGGTCTGCATTTATGGAAAAACAAAAGGCAAGCACTTAAGCAGACCCATTAAAGGTGCTTTAAGAATATTGCTGATCGCGATTAGTTGATTGAGGTCCGGCGCCTAGAATGCTTAGCTTAAAAGGTCCCAAACCCACCTAAATGGCCGAAATGTTAGCCGAATGCGCCAAGACCTTGCCGCCGATGACAGAGCCGGTAATGAAACTGTCAACAAGCGACAAGAGCTACTTCAGTTGGCTCAGATTGCTTCAATTAAACTCAAATTCGTGCGCGCAGAATGCGCAAATGAAGCAATTGCATGTTGGCAATGACGAGGCATTTGAAGAATGCTAGTGGACAGCCAGAAAGCCTCATTTTAAGGCATATCTTAAGTTAATTTCGTAATCGCAAACAAAAAAGGAGATATGTGAATAGTGCTTTAAGGTACATGGAGAACAAATTTGTAATCACCTAAAATTGCCAGATTCACACTCGGACAAAATAAGTAAGGCAATATAGTTAACAATAATAATTGATTTTGTTGTTAATAATATAAAAATATAGGGATACAAATTTGATATTGAACTTTTAATATTTTGTATATATACATTTTTTTCAGGATGAATTTGTTAACTTTTTTATCTTAGCTTTAGAGCTGGGAAACGTTTTGTTTTATTTGTAATTTATTAAATTAATTTATTTTTATACGTTTGAGCAGAATTGTTTTCTGCTAACTTTTATATTTATCAAAATATTCTCAAGTATTGTATTATCTCTTTAATAGGCATAAGATGATAAAAGCTATAGAGATGGGAAACGCTATATTTAATATGTAATTTAATGAATTAAATTAACTTAAGTACCATTGTTTTTCATTAATTTTATATTCATCAAGATAAGTCAAAATATAAAATAGTAAAACAGCTTAAAGGCTTATAAGAGTATTACATTTTAAAATAAAACTTTAAAAGAACTTCGCAAGTAGCTACAACTAATGCATTCGGCCTTTAATTTTATTGGGGTTGAAAAGGGATTCAGTAATGCCATAGGTTTCACCGAAATGTTCAGTGTGCATGGTTCTGTATCCCAAGATTTCGGTCACCAAAAACACAGGTACTTTTCCCTATACCTAAAAAATAGCCTTTGTATACACATAGATAGGATAAACCTAAAAAATAGCCTTTGTATACACATACATAGGATAACGAAATTTCTGATTTTAACTAGAAACTATCCTGACGGCTGAGAGGCAGAGAAAGAGAGAAAGTCTCTCTTAGAAACATTTGACTAGCTCAACTAGATACTAAATTATTTTATAACAGGTATATTAATAATTTCAAATCAGAGCGCCTTAAATTAAAAGACCGTAATTATATATTATATTTATTAATTATATATTTTAATTATATATTATAATAATATTATTCTTAAACAATTTAAACTATCTAAATAAAAATTTAAAATATATATTATTCATAAAAATTAACTGACGATTTTAAATTTTTATCATATTCTTACATAGTTAAAATTATTAAGAAAAAATGTTGTTTGTTATTTATCATATTTTTAAATCAACTCCAGCGCTCAACCGGTACAAATACAGCGCCTGCGCTATCGGATTAAATGTTATGTAATGTAAAATTCTGGAATGTAAAATAGTCGTTTGAACAGGTTAACCGCTGAAACTGTTTTTGATTCTGTTGAGATCAGGATCTGATTTTAAAATATGTTAAGTAACAGCCTAGAATTTTTGTTTTACATTACATAACATTTAATCCGATAGCGCAGGCGCTGTATTTGTACCGGTTGAGCGCTGGAGTTGATTTAAAAATATGATAAATAACAAACAACATTTTTTCTTAATAATTTTAACTATGTAAGAATATGATAAAAATTTAAAATCGTCAGTTAATTTTTATGAATAATATATATTTTAAATTTTTATTTAGATAGTTTAAATTGTTTAAGAATAATATTATTATAATATATAATTAAAATATATAATTAATAAATATAATATATAATTACGGTCTTTTAATTTAAGGCGCTCTGATTTGAAATTATTAATATACCTGTTATAAAATAATTTAGTATCTAGTTGAGCTAGTCAAATGTTTCTAAGAGAGACTTTCTCTCTTTCTCTGCCTCTCAGCCGTCAGGATAGTTTCTAGTTAAAATCAGAAATTTCGTTATCCTATGTATGTGTATACAAAGGCTATTTTTTAGGTTTATCCTATCTATGTGTATACAAAGGCTATTTTTTAGGTATAGGGAAAAGTACCTGTGTTTTTGGTGACCGAAATCTTGGGATACAGAACCATGCACACTGAACATTTCGGTGAAACCTATGGCATTACTGAATCCCTTTTCAACCCCAATAAAATTAAAGGCCGAATGCATTAGTTGTAGCTACTTAAAGCTGTAGTTGTATTAATTCATGGAACTACTGATTGTAAACCCATTTAATTAATAGTATGAGATCTCGACAAGATCTCCACCACCATATACTCTATGGTGCATCTACATACACACAACTATTCAGTCGCCATCACAGTTGTTTGAGAACCATGTACTTCTAGAAATTTTCCACCCTCACACACACAAGCAAACACGCACTACCGTTAACCAATCGAACTACATCTTTAAATAAGTTGA